ATTAGCATATCAAACAGCCACACTAATGATTCAACATGACCGTTAAGAGATAGATCGCCTATTAGGGATTCCTAAATATTCTTTTCTATATATATTTACACGGCATCACTAATGGTGCTTTAGAAAATTTGAATGAGTTTTCTCCTGGAGTGCATTTTTCTATTTACCGAGAAATCTATCATACCTTCGCAGGCATTAACGGTGTGCGAATAACTATATCATTATAATCTTAATTATATCAGTCCGTGGGACATATTTTGTACGCTTTTATCTGGTTAATATAAGTTCAATATGTGAAAGTATAGAAAGATTTATCTATACAATTTTATCCATATAAGATATTCCTATTTGACGCTGGTGCTTTTATAAAAAAACACAAATTTTGTTTGTTATATTTTAATTCCCTTTGGTGAGAAACCCAGGTTTCATTTATCACTAGAAATGCTTTTAAGCAATAGCAATTTGTATGTACGAAATCTCACTGAAAACATTTGCTTCGCATAATACTTATTCTGATATAGACTAGATGTACTGACCTACAATAAAAAAAACTGGTCATACATCAAGGACTTAAGTACCAACAGGTAGTATATGTTGGGTGGTTAAAAATACCTCACTATCCAAGAGCTTTCAGTCAGTAACAGAAAATATAAATTACCATGACAATTTTGGTGTCTTAACTGTATCTGTTTGTTGACGGACATATTTTAAAAACATTTCTTACATTGTTTAGAAGTTTTTTGTTTCTAGGACCTGGTGACCTTCTGTATTGATTGACCAGTAAGATTATAACACATATTGATAATGAACATAATGCATTACATGAAAATTCCGTTGACCTCGTTAGAGGTACACGTGGGATTATATAGACAGGTATCATTATTTATGACCAAAGTGACCACATGAATGTGCATGTCGCTTTGTGTGTGTATAGGTGTCGATCACGATAATATGTCATAGTTGACTGATCGCGTGTCAATAGCTGTTCGTACGGATCGAAGCTGTCGGGAAAGTGGGATTATAACAGTACTTATCTGGTGCCACAGAAAGTCATTATGACCGAAATATTTCAGAGGCACGATCATTGTTTTTGACGGACACTTACTTACATGTTGTCATTGTCTCAAAGCACAATATTAAGATGAAATATGTATTAATGTTAGAAATAATACAAAGTATCTGTGATTCGTTTACTAAATTGTTATTTTTTTTTAATTATTTACTAACGAAAGTAAATAGATATAAATAAGTAAATAAAATCGTGTCTCAAATAATATCCTTGCTAAGTCATGTCGCAGAATGACCCTAAGTCGTATTCTTACGACTAATTAAATCCGAAATTTATGGTTTGTTATAAAAAAAAACACAAGAGAAGTTAATTATAAGTTATTTTATGACTAATATCACGCTTCTTTTATCCTTGACGGATTTGTCTCTTTAGTCTGTTCCAGCATCATTAAAACCTTATCCTGAAAACACAAAAGATGTTTAAAAACACAATATACTTACATTGGATAATTAATGATGTTAACAAGTGGATGATGAATGTTAACTATGATATAATCTAGGCTACTGTACAGCAGAGACGTAGGACGTAGAATGACAAAGAGGTTGTGCTCGGAATCGTGGTTGCTTTGTCCTCATTTGATGAGTAATAGGTGGTATCTTACGCCTATTAATCTCATGTCTGTTGTAAACAGTCGCTGTTAACATGTTTGGAATAAGAATGTTTCAGAGGCGTATATTCACATTTAATTTTTGAAACCTATTCTTGTTCAGTTTTCAACATGCGTTTTTTGCAATTTCATACAACAGGTAAATTGTTAAATATTTAGGCGTCATATTGCAAGATAAATGCCAGTTAGACGAGACAAAAATATCAAGACAAATATGTAAATAAATTGATGAATTCATAAATAAAAAACTTTTAAAAATTGATAAATAAATAATGAAATGAATGTGGAGATGCCAACAAGATTGTCATTCACAAACCAACTTCATGAAACGATTGCAAAATGTTAATTATCGCAAGACTGCCTGGACACCCTTTCAAAACTTACAGAAATTTCTCATCTTTTCAAAGTCGCCATCAGACGTCCCCGTTTGCGATGACGTGGTGTGTTGTTGCATACTTTGAACACATTTTTAAAAATAGAGTGAATTGTGTGATGAGGCGCGAATAGTCAGCTTTCATACGCCAGGTCTAGGTTTTTCCTGGATAGCAAATCAATTTTAAAAGGACATTCAATTTAAATAGCACTATTTTCAGGGTGTGAAAAATATATCCCATCAATTTTTGATAATTTCATCGTGTCGCCGAATGTGTCCTGTGGACGAAAGGTGTGACATTACCTATTCTATAGACTTTGACAATAACTATAATCTGATTTTATTAATTACAGGTAACTTAAGAATGTCACCACACTGAAACATTATCTACCTGGGCACCGTTTGACTGAGGTCTGCATTTTACCAAATATTCTAACGGTGTTAATATTCTATCCCGAATCTTAGCGTTTTATTAGTGTTTATTTTTTGAAAATCGAAATTTTATATAGTTGATAGCTTGAACATTATATACGATGGCTTTTTTGATATCAAACAGAATAACATTTTTCTTTTCCATATTTGTTGATTAAATATAATCGCGAAATATAAACATATAAAAAAGAAAATTACCAAAAAAGATCCTATATCGTTTCATGACTTCCGCAAAAAATATATCAATCTTTGTTTAAAGTTTTTATACAACCATTAAACATCTAATAATCTATATAAAACGACAAACATGCATCCATTTTGCTTCAAGATTTCGTGAAATCTCGAAAATGCGAACACATGAAATGACAAAATTTGATGCAATCTCCAAATTATTTTGAAACACCTGACAGAAAACATTCAGTATAAGTTGATAACATTGTATGCAGGTCTCAAATTTTGAGCTTGGCGAACCGTTTTATCCAAACATATTACAGTGTTCCTTATAGAAGGATGTGTTTGCTATTGGAATGTCATTCTGCAGCTGTAACATTGAGAGTTGGTACCAAATGCCTCAGAGCAAACCCTTCCATCTTGATTATTGGCAGCTTCGTGTGAGAAATATAAAAAATTGACAGGATTCATAAGCTCGCTGTTCAAAAACAAAATTAGACATATATTGAATATTGCACTTGCATTTCATCAACGCGACCAGGGTTTATTCCCTGGAAAGGATTACCACTTCGGCCTTGTGCGTTTTCTCATTTCCTTCTACAATAAAACCCTCTCTCATCCCACATGGAAATTTTCACCGAGTTAATAAGATAGTTAAATAAAGTTGATAAAGCTAGATATATGTAATATCTTCATTGCTGCCCTAGATAATATTCATATATTCTCTCTCAATTATTACACATTAACACTACATAAAGGAGTGATAATGAGTTTATTCGTAATGAATAATTATACGTAAGAAGATAAGCCATGCACATCAAGGACCCATTATCACTGACACATGCCTAGAAACATTTTATTCTAAAAGTGACATCGTCATTAATTTCTACACTTGTACATATAGCCTTATAAAGCCTCATCATAGTTTTAGACGGTTTTGTAAACTCACTTTTCATTCAGAAAACGTTACATAGAAGTTGAAGACGTGCTGGGTTATTAACTAGACGAAGAGTCTTATGTAGGACATTCCATGTCTGTAATATAACGTTTGTTTTTGTCTATTGTTATTTTCGCAACTTTCGTTGATCTTTCAGGATTTTCACACTATTTGCCGCAATATCACTGAATAATCCACCAAGAATAAAATCCTGTATGATACGATATTCACTACATTACTTTCATTAGATTTAAATGTACCTTTCAGCTGTGGAATTTGCTTTAATATTATTTCCTGTATATTATGTATAGGGAATTGCCGTTAGGAGAAAAATGGTGCAGGTTTATCAATAAGTAGTATATGATTTATAAAGTTGTGATTTACAAGAAATGTGAAAAGTGTCTTAATATTATAAAAAAACCCCGATCGTAATGAGTTTCATAAATCTCACATAAATTGGAAACGCACATATGATTCTGTTTATCAATTTTACTAATGCAAAATCTTAAATTGTCGATATTTCACCATAAATTTATATCTTTTTGACGTACCAATGCTTTCGACGCCAGGAAATTATGACGTTATTCACAGTTTGTAGATACAGAAGAATCATATCTTATTTCAAGATTAGTATTAAGCAATCCAGGTTTATTACAATTATTGTGGACAGACCAAACACATTATTAAGCGATAGTATGATTTTCACCGGGGACAAGAGTTCTTTCTTTCATCTGAATATTGTTATTCACTACCAGACTTCTCTTCATCGATTAATCTATTAACAATTCGATGGCATTAAGATAATTATGTGACAAATCAATTGTTCATTCGACGTAATGGCTTTAATGCCAATATAGCATGTAGTCGTTTGTCCATCTCTAGACATATGGAACATATATTTGTTTTACAATTTTATTTGTACAATTATTTATAGACGTATAAAATGGTATATTGACATTCTATTTCTTCAAATGGCCTTTTATTAATAAACTTGTTTTATTGAATTGTTTCCTATTACAATGCAATTCTTAGAGAATGAGTTTTAATAACAATATTCGCATCGTCGAAATTTTATACTGGGTCCAATATATAATATCAGATACCAATTCATGTAGTAATTTGCCGTTCCAATTTCAAGATTTTTGTGATGTCTAAGATTTTGTTTAAAAGAACAAAGAGTCAAAGTTTCAAAGTCAGTACAATTCTGAAAAGTCATATTCATTCTAAATATCTCAAACTTATTTTGATTTGGTTTTCCGAATAGTTAATAACAATATAACATCAATGTTTAATGATTTACAGGACATATCAAGTAGGGAATTAAAAAGTCACTGCAACCCACATCGATGCTATTGATGTAATGTTGATTTCCCTATTGTATTTTTCTACCTATTATTTCAGAGCTACAGTTATGAATTCCTTCACTGTTGGCTTCATCCTAGGATGGCTTGGATTGGTACATTGTTATCATCTGGCTCCACCTGTATACCCGTCTCGTAGAAACATTACAACCACACCCAAACCAACCACTACCACAGCACCAGTTGAATATGAGCCGCCGGAAATAGAAGGTCCCGTGTCCACAACAACTACAGTTGCCACAACAACTACTAAAAAACCAACCACGTATGCGCACGGGCATGGGCCGCCACCTGGTGGCTATTACGACCATTATGGGCAATATCATTACGATCCATACTACAATGCACAACAAGACCCTTATGGAGCATATGGGTCATCATACGGCCATTATGGGTATCATTCTAGCCGAGCTCCATACCCTACGCAGGTGGCCCATCCTAGTCAAGCGCCATACGGTTCAGGAGCACAAAGTCATTACACAGATCCGTACGCGCCACGTTATGACCCTAGTACGGGACAGTACACGGATCCGTACCATGGAGGGAAGGATCCATATTTTGGGGCTAATCAGGGTTTAAAACCTCGCGGTCAAACAGCGTTAATGGACCAGTTATCAATTATAAAACCACAACCAAGTGCATCTCCGTCATACGGACATTCCGGCAAATGGATAGAAATGCGAGCTGCAAATGATCTTCGTATGAAATCCCGTCGGCGGAATAGGCAGGGCTCTACTCGACGAAGAGGGTACATTCCCAGGGGAGAGAAACAAACACTTAAACGAGTATCTCCTACAGCTTCTAACTATCATCAAGGCTCGTACGCTGGTTCTAAGTCTAGAGTCGGAGGAAGCCAGTCTAACTGGCAGAACCAGCAACGCCCGCAAAGACGTCAGCAGCAAGCGGGCTTCAACCGTCGAAACAATAATGGTCAACAAAGCGGACAAGGTAAACAGAACACATGGAACAAAGGCAATTCCGGTTATAACGCCTGGAGTTATCAGCAGTCACAATATACTGATACTAATACTGGAGGTATTAGTCAACCATCGTCGAGTTATTCTGGATCAGCTTATCAAAACCAAAATAACCAATATAATAAAAACACAGCTTACGATAACAATGCTTATGCAAATACGGCCTCTCAGGTTGGGAGTGCGGCAGTGCAACCTAGTCCATATCCTAGTTCTGCCACTGGCCAAAACAGTAACTATTATGCTACCGGTAGTTCCGGCTATAACCAAGGACAGGGAACGGGAACTTCGTCCAATGCTTATAACCAACAGGGATATGATTATTATGGATCTGGTTCCACCGGAACAGGAAGTGGAACAGGCTCAATGACAAGTAATATTGCCTATAATACACCAGCCCCATCCAACTATGGGTCGGGCTATAATAGTCAAGGTGCATATAATTATGATACCTCTGCAACGTCATCACAGCAGCAAACATATTATAACAACAACCAGAACGCCATAAAACAAGGTTCTAACACGTTTGGATTAGGTACTCAAGGAGCATCATACAACTATGATACTTCATATAATAATCAAGGAATGTCGACAGGAAATTATGATGCAGGTGGAAGTCAAATGCAAACAGGTGCTTATGATACTGCAGGATCATGGGGAGGACAGAACTTTAATATGGATACTCAAACCGGTCAGTCTAATTGGAACACAGGGAATTCGTTCGGTCAAGGACAGTCACCTAACACTGTATCTGATACGATTTCTGATTATATGACCATGAACAATGCAAATTCCGGGTTTGCCTCCAAAACTGGTTCGTCGAGCATCGGTTCTACAAATTCAGGTAAAACAAATGAACAAAATGTAGCTGAAACAATGATCAAAATGTTGGAAAAACTTAAGACAGCTGCGGCTGCTAACGCATCGACAAGTGTATCAACTAGTTCGACCCCTAGTAAGACCCAGAAACAAGAACCCGTACAAATTTCAAAAAGTATGGAGGCCGCCATTAAGAATGCCATTATAAATGCCGCAAAGGACATTTCAAATAAAATGAAAGCCGACAAAACAACTTATGTTGGAACTCAAGAAACTTATCAGAGATCTCCATCGGTTCAGGCTGTGGACACGTCATTCAAAGCTGACATCACAAGTCCATATGGATGGACGCAACCGCCTACAACAACTGTGCAGACATGGACAGAGGCACCAACGACGACAGCGGCACCTACTGCAGGAAATAGACGATGGGGACCCACAGGGGGAATGTGGGGAACCTCTTCCTCGGGCAACTATTACGGAGTGACTTTATCTCCCAGGGGGAGAGCAGGTGGACAGTGGGGAACAGCAGCGCCAACTACTCCCAAAGTTTCGTTTCTAGGTAAAATGAGTAGGAAACGTCTAGCAAGCACCATGACACCTAGAACCACTCAAAACCCAATGAAGGGATTTCAACAACTTTTACTAGCTTCCGTTTTATTCAACAAAAAATAATTTAAAATGTTGCAATATTGAAATCAACCATGGAATTTATGCTAAATGTAATTGATTGGAATTTAGAAATCTGAATATATGTTGTTGCAGAGGATTGTTAGACTGTCTTGCTAGTTGAATTTCGTCATTGTGCTGTTTTTAAATAAGGTAAAATGAAAGCACTACTGGTGAGAAGAAAATTCTTTCGTATTATTAATGTACTTATTACTACGACAGAGATGAATGGACAGTATCTAAGTAGTAATGTATTCGTGTTGTGTTCTTTGTGCGTGAGTCATGCTTGCGACCTTGTGTAGTGTAAATCCCTGGACGACGTGTTTGTAATATATATTTATATGCAGTGTTAACATGAATGTTATAATGATATTATCATTAGAAAAACGTTTTGCGTTGTCCTGGAATTACCTACTATCTGCGGAAATGTTTTTATTAGAATATATCAGCTTTCCAAAACGTATATTTCTAAAAATGTCTTAGATTTAAAAAAAAAGTTTTATAATGTCTAATGGAAATATATGCGTTTTTACGTCATTTCAGCTTTCAAAAATATAATTTTCTAAAGACATGTTAGGTCACAATTATTTTGAAATTTAAAAGGCGTCTAAAATTGAATTATATATCAGTATAATTCTATTTACAACACTATACTATATCACATGAAATGCAGTTTATTTACTTTTCATGTCGTAATTGCGGTGCTTTTGCGGCCATTATGTGTGATTTGTTTTGAACGTTTTTTATTCTTTGGACCTTTGGACAAGAATAGAAAGTTTATTGACAAGAAAATCAAAATGAGGAATAAACGTGTGCAAATCTACGTGCAGCCAAAATTAAGCTATGATATTTTTTTTGTAAATAGTTGCGCACGTACTGGTTTGTAAATAACGAGACGATAAGTCTTTTAGTTAATCAATGTAGAAGTGATATTCCAGACAAAGTCATTCGGAATGATACAGTTAAACAAAAGGAGGAAAGATACACATTTGTGCTGTGCACACATAAAGTTTTTGTTTCTAAACTACCTGCTGAGTGATGAAAGTAAACAGATATTCATCATTCACTGGCAAGAAATGCATGTTTTAACCAAAAACTAAGATGTTTGAGAATGGTAACAGTAAGTTTACACGTGATGTTTCCTTTGTTATTTTTGGATTATTAAAATGTTCGGAAAAATCACTTTGTCTTGAGTTATATTTTAAAGTGATGACCACACTTCCAGAATTAGATATTTACCAAAATGACAATAATATTGACTTTTGCAAACATAAGTATCATCTTCTTTACATATCTGTATAAACATTCATGGTAAGAAATCTTAATGATGTAGAGCCAAATATTTAAAAGCTATCTTAACTTTCGAACGCCACACCTAACCTTCAAACATGGGCAGGGAACATAACACCAAGTGCTACAAAAGGGTAATAGTCTTCTGCTTCATCTACGACGGCTACAGTTTATATGTTGGCCAATCCAAGGAAGCAATGTCATGTTCTCAAAACTCATATTTAAGAGAGGAACCGTCCAGGTATTCTAACAAGAATGAGGACATCGAAGGTCATATCACACAAGGAAATGAAATGGAATATTTCAGAACAAAGGCATGATGACAGCCGTAATACTTATACAAAAACCTCTTCATCAACCTACATCTCCTGAATTCCTGTGCTGCAAGTTGACCTTTCTATTGATCTTGATTTTGAGAAACAGGTCTTGAATATCGAAAACATTTCGACATGTTAACACCATAAGTTGGGAAAGCAGGTAGTTCATCATCTGGTAATGGAAAATAAACGAAAGGGAAATCAAAATCATCATGTTTATCATACATATATACATGTCTGTGGAAAACAATCGCTGTTGTTTTTCGTCGGATACAAAGGTCGAAGAGGAGCAGCATTTTTTCAGAGGAGAAAAGTGTAATCAGCTCAGAATGCGACGAGATTTATTCCGTTTATCTTGCTTTTGAAAAAAATGAGCAATTTGCAAAATATTAACTAAAAGTGTGACTTCATGCTGTCGAATTTGAATGAGATTAAGTCATTGAGGTATTTTATCATAAGCTACATGAATAAACGCATGTAATATATGTAAGAAAATTGATACAAACAGACTCTATATAGACTTAACACTCCAGACATGTACAACATATAAAAATCTCATTTTTAGTGTGATTTTATTTTAACAGTTTTACTTAATTTCGCTTTAGTGGTTTGTATACCAGACCCTATAGACTAGTACCATTTGCAATATAACTTCGTGAGGAGCTTAAAATAAAACAAACAAACAAAAATGGCCCAATGTCCAAATGCTCTCGAACGTCACACGTGATTTACAACATTCAGCAGAAAAAATGTTTTATACACAAGTGATTTATGTTCTTTTGTAATTGTCATAAATACACAGCCTCTACATTTGTTGTCGTTAGCGTCACCACGCTTATTCAAATAGTAGCCAAGACAAACATGGCTTAAAAGATTATGTCTTCCGGTCCTGCGCACTTTCACAGTATAAGAGCTTATCTCCTATGTGATTTTGAATTTTAGGTCTGTTACTAATTACTTAGACAATAGAACAATTCCCCCAAATATGAAACGCGTTTGTTGAAAAAAATGCATTGGTATTAATTTATACAATAAGATACAGTACCATATGATACGAAAGAATGCCTTTCATCATTATCATATTCTGATATTTCTTTTTGGTCTCACAAATGGTATATATTTATACATCATAACTGACAACTAATTGTTTATACCATATTCACCCTATAAAGCATATTGTCATGATTTCAAATAGAATTATTAACACCCTTTTCTGGTTTCAAAATGAAATTCAATGTCAATTTTGATATATACATATTTTCCAGAAGTCTCATTGTAGATTTTTTGCTCATTTTGTGTGTTTATTTCCTTGAATTTGAGATTAAATCATTTTTGCATGTCGATATTTTATTTGTTGTTGTCGTAATTGAACACAAAAGGATTTTTAAGATGAATACTATATCACATGAAATATTTTCTACAAATTAAGTAAAAGAATGTTCAATGATCCTTACTGTATCCAAATCCCCGACGACTTTTCAAATAATTTATCCTTGTGAACATTTAAAATATTTTCTATTTAAGTAAACATGATTATTATTTTCTTTGTGTGGAGTACTTGTGAAGTTACAAGCTTGTACAAGTAATATATAATCATACACGCCTGTCTGAAGAAGCTATTTCATGTCTTCACTTCCTTGTACGTACAACGCTAGTATCAGCATTACCGACACTAGGAAAATTTGCATAAAACATTATTTAAATTTAAACTAGTGACAACACGTAAAGTAAAATTATACTAATCTAAAACGTCAGTGTTGTTTTTTGTTTTACTACTCACAAATTGGTGCCAAAGAATAGCTAGTACTTGATGTAGTTGATATAGTATTCCTATTTGAGTGCGACTAGTTACCAGTCTTACTTTATATATATATCAAACGAGTTGTTGGACGCAGATTTGAAGACATAGCAATTAAAACAATTTAATAACAATACCTAATTGTTACATGAAATAAATTCTGTTAAACAGCAGTAGCCATCGATGTCTTATATTTATTCTAGTTTACAAAATAGAAAGTTTTCATATATTTTTGTGAAAATAAATTATAAAAGGAATCGTTAATTTGTTGAATTAAGTAAGAATCAACTTTTATCCAAAATGTCAAATATTATAATTTTTTATTACCCTTACAGAGTATTCGGGCTGAACGCGTTTGTTATTCATTTGATAAACATTTTGAATATGTTCGTATTTTAAGACACAGAAATAATGATGATAATTGTACATTTATTTTAGTACAATATGTACATTATTGTATTCTAACAAGACACTATATTCCGAAAAAAGAACATATCATGGAAAATAATATATCATCACCATCTGCACTCCTCTTCATAATATATCATCTAAACTGTCGTGTGATGCGTCAAACTCTGTCTGGTCATTTGTATTGCTGTCTGTCATAAACATCTATGTATTCATACACACTTTCAACAACTACTTAAACAGGTTATGAGAAGCTGGTAAAAACTGGTAATTAATTAACTTGTTGTAATCTCTCTTTTTGATGAATACAGGAAGTAGTAATCTGTTGTTGTCAAAGGTTTCAAATTTGAAGACAGTGACGAATATAAACTCCAATCCCGGACAGAAAATGTCCATGTTGTGGAGCTTTATGAGCTCCAAATTTAATATTATGACATTATGTCTACATAATTGGCTGTTGTATGTTTATCAAATCAAAAATACTCAAACGTGATGCATTTAGTTTAGTCAGTTAATCGGTTTAAAACGTCATTATATGTGATATTGTTTCATACGGCTTTGGGTGCAAGAATGATGCTATAGATTCTGTTTTTATTCGTTTGATAGATAGGGAATTATCAATCCCGATAATTAAAAACAGATACAGATGTATATAAATTCCTTTAAACGAAATTTGATTTCTTCTGATCTTCTTAAATCTTATTGTTACTCTTGATTTATATGCTGACTTGATATTGACTTGCACATTTTAATTATCGGAACAAGAAAAGAGTGATTGTTTTCTACATTCAGGTCCCTTACATAGAATGCTGTCAATATATGATAATTAAGTAACAAAAACCAAAACGCTATTATGAAACCTGCATGGAATGTATCACACAATGGATTACATAATACTACCCATACAACTGTATACACGTTATAGGATTTATCTATCCTGACATGCTCTGGTGAAATTATCCAATCATAGGACGGTGAAGCTGTACAAAATGATAACGGCAAACGTAGTAAAAAAGTTACAATGCATAAAGCTGATAAAATGTTTTGGAGTTAAAGTGATTTCCCTAGTTTAATTTTGATTTTTTTGCGTTATTGAACTGGTTTGTGAAGTATCATAGAAGGCGTTTTTTACCATTTGTTTCGATATTTACTTTCCGTGTTATGTCGATGAAGTAGAAGAGCTAACCCTTTCGGAATATCTTATCTTTTTGCCTCTGTACTGTACTTTTTCATGAATATCCATGCATTTTTTTCTTTTGTTTATATTTTGCGCTTCCTGTATTGAATTTAACTATGAAATATGATTTAAATGATATGTTGGTGTTTTCTTGTTGTCATCGTATCGATATCAATTTCCTGTTGGATATTGTGTTTAAGTCATCCAGCCGAGATGATAACACAACAATTTTCGTCTATTCATATATGCTTAACATACTAATTGACGCTAACGTAGCTGAAATACAGAAAAAAAAATCGTGATAATTTAACTAGATTTAAAAGTAATAAATGTATAATTTCAATTCGTTTCTAAACTTACACTTAATACGTGATAAAAATGTGCATATTAACCAACACATTTTTAAATCGGGGTCAATCTTTATTTGGAAATATTTGACCTCTAAACCACGTCTTCTGTAAAAACACGAGGAATTCCATTCGTCATTCCTTTGCGTATTTTGTTTCTTTATATTACCAGAAAACGCGTTATTACTCTGACCTGACTCGTGTGTAACGGTCACTGAGGACATATACGTTAAACGACAAACGTTTTTACAAAGATAAATTTGATAAGTAGGTGTTTTTATGGATGTTTTCTTTGAAACAAAATGCCACAATTGGAGATTCAACGGGTTATAACAAATAACTGTTTTATTCCGTCCAGGATGTTTCCATCATTATGGTAAGTATAAAAATCATACAGATTTTTGTATTATCAAATTTCATTGGAACATAAGATGTCGAACTTAAACGACACTTTTACTAAATTTTATCCATTAAAGTTGTAGTACTTCCTTAAACAATCTTCAAAATCCATTTCCATTGAGCGATAAACTTTTAAAGAATTCAATAAAGTGTCGTTTACCATTATAACACCGGAGGCAATATTGCTCTCTATAGCTTTAAGCTACGGTCTGTGAGACTTATGATGGTCACCTTACTGCATTAACTATCCACTGAGATGATTAAATGTTATTTCGAGAATAAATTTATTCCTTTGTCTAACTCGTTTGTTATTTTGTTTTAAGTGGAGATGACCTACTTACAAATATGCAATCCAAAAGAAATAAAATGATATAATCTTAATTCATGGAAAGTGACTTAAAATATTGATAGAAACTCGCTAATCGAGGAATCTGAATATTATCATAAGCAGTAGGAACCATATGTTTAGTGTCACAATGTACTATTTAATGTCAAAATGTTTAAGGAAAGTGTGATGTTTTAACGTATGTTAAAAATTATTAAAGATTAAAAAATACTTTGCCCGATAATAATTTTTGGATACCCTGGATTTTTCACAACCTATTTTTGTGCACATATTTTCAAGTATTTACGGATTATAGATCTATCCTCATTTAATTAAATGAATTATAAATAATAAAAACGCTGAAATAAAACAAGAAACTTTGAGATTATATATTTGTATCAAAATAAATCGAAAATAGACCATTTATTTGCGTTTACGTTTTTCAAAATTGTTCACATTAATCTTTTTCCGGGTACGCACGAAAATTAATCAAGGCCATTGCATGTCCTGTTAATACTTTATATTAATATTTTCCCTTGCTTTGTCATTATTAATGTGTAGGTTCAGAAAGCCAGAATAAAATACTCTGAACCTCATACCTCGTAAATAGCATTTTAGCTATATATCATAAATGCTTAATACCTTATGGCGCCATCTTCATCTATATAATTAACAACAAAAACAATAAAGTTTATGCAGTGGATAAATTACAATAATAGAGAAATATACCGTTTCGTCGAATGAGGAATTAATCTGTATTATGTAATTGTTTCGTTATTCTCTATTTTCTATTGTTTAAACGTAGGCAGCGAAATAAGAAAATCGATCGTTGTCAAAATAATGTTTATCTTATATGGATAAATAGGCAGATTGATCCATAATATTCAAAAGACGTCTACGTAATAATAGCTTTAATCCTTCACATTCGGAGCAAAGGCAATTGCAGTATTAGTAGTTAATAACCATACGGAAGTCCTAGATATTCTTGAATGCAAAGCGTATATATTGGAACGCTGACATACAACAACCTCTTAAAGCTGAGATCATCATATTTGCATTAAAATAACAATTAACGGTTATCAATAAAAACATACTTTCTTAATATAATATTTCCTCGTACTGTGTATTTATTGCTATGGTCACATAACATTCACGAACAACATACACAACAGATTGTTACGTTATAAGGTATAACCATGAGGGGAAATCGGATATAAAACAGCGAGCAACATGGCGTCAAAACAACTAGTAAATCATGCGTTTATGATGTTAAGAAATTGAACACAATATCATCAGGTGAATTAACGACAACATTAACAAAACCCTGCAATATAACGACAGATACTGAATAGGTTTACCTCAACTGGCCAGGCAAGCACTGCTTATCTCCCCTTCCCTGATCTGAGTTTTTGCTATGTATATATCGAAATTGAGGTCAAGGATACAAAAAATACTGCACATAAACGACGCTTTTTACACATGTTTTTATTTGTGATACATCAGGTGTATCATATTGCTTTCATTTTTTCCATATCCTTATAGCTTTGCGATAAATCACGCTACCTCACACAACCGCCTGCTCGAAGTGGACAAACCATCCAGCTATTCTGGTCCTGTGTTACTAATTTTTACTTCAACATCACATCTCTAGTGGAATTTTAATGGATTTTATATATTTTTTATAATATGAATTTGAATATGTTTTGGGATGCTTTGAAATTTCTATATGATCAACAATTATCATGCATGTATAATACTTTAAAGTTTTTATATAAGATTATCTCAATTCATGCTTAATTTCTCATTATTATCTGTAATGAATATAATCTTAATATTAGTACTATATAAATATCTGGACCAGCCAATATTATAATGCGAAGAAATGGAATTGGGGACAGATACTCTGTATGGTAGTTGCTTGGTTTGTTGGTTCTAAATTAGTTAATGGGTGGTCGGATGGCGCAGTGGTAATTCAAACACCTTTCACCTAGCCATACGGGGTTCGATTCCCGGAATGAAGGAATGGGGTCACCTGCCCGACCACGTGGGTTCTCCCTGGGATTGGACTTTCAAAATTCAAAATTCCCAGGAATACAAACTTGAAGCAGTTCAATGCATACATTTATCATTTTCAGTTTTTCATTGTGAGACAGTTTGAATAGTTTAACATAACCATTGAAATACTCCTATGCTGTTGCCAATTCAATGTTGGTAATGCACAGCTGACTTTGGTAAATTAGAAACCGTAGCAATACCATACAATGATGGATATTATTGGAAAAAAAGTAGCCGGCACCTTTGTGATAAAAAAAAACTTAATTTCAGAAGTTATTTTAAAGGAATTCCATTATTGTTTTGGTCTGTGTTCTAAAACTAAAGGTCTTTCAGTATCTGCCTTCACATGATTAACTAAGGAATTTTCAGACCACCGGTTATTTTGAAATTCTTGCATATATAACTGATGAGTCAACAGTTTCTTTTTTATTTCTGTGAATGTCAAATTTCCAAGAGGTATAAGTAGATACTTCTGTCTGTTTGGTCGTGGAATCGCCTTCATAATTGGCTTCGCTTGTATTTTATCCAGGAGCCCTTTGATAACACTGATTGCACGTGTTAAGTAATGTGTGTCACTATTATTATGCATTGTTAGGTGTTGATCTGGTACGGTGTTTTTATTTTCCCTGTTTCCAAATATTCGTTTATCATCTGTCATATTGCTAGTATCCATGAACCCGTAATCATTTGATATTTTATTCTGTGTTTGTCGGTTTTGCTGTTCGGAAAGCCATTCGAAGTTTTTCATATCCGAATCATGGGCATTAATTTCATTCAGTTCAGCACGTGAAATCTGTTCTTCCACTTGCTTTGCTCTCTTCCCATATGGGTCCTCTTTAACAACTTTCCGTTTAATCGTTAAAGGTTTTACATGGTATTTGTCTGATTCAAAGTACCTTTCTTGGTTTTTCAATCTCGCTAATAGCGAGAGATCTTCAACAGGATGCATAATAGTTTTACCACTGGCTTGACTGCTTACATTTGGTTGTCTGTCAGATTTTAACAGGTCTTTTTTCAAATGTTTTCCAACATACGTTTTTGTTTTAGAGATCGACTTTTCTACTTTTGTTGTTTTTATCAGTCGGTTATCTTGCTTTTTATGACTTTCTACAAAAGTTCCCTTCATGGGTGGATGTATGACACTGGTGTAACTAGAAATCGAATCCGTTGCATTATATCCTTCTATTGATGTCGTGTTCCTGAGATAACTACTTGTTTTTTCTGGTAGAACATTTTTCTTATTATACTCTTTCATTGGGGCCTTTGTCTTTTGTCTATCTGACTGACGATTATCATTTGATTTTCCTTGTAAATTTCCTTTTATATCGTACAATTTCATTGGAGTCTTTTTCCTAACACCACGCGTCTTTTCCTTTTCAAACTTAACAGAACTTTTTGGTTTTCCTTGTAAAATGTCTTCCAAGTGAAGCACTTTTATTTTAGGACTATTTGTTATATCATGTGCCTTTCCTTTTTCAAGTTTAACAGAACTATTTGGGTTTCTTTCCATTTTGGCATTTTTCCTAATATCACGTGTCTTTTCCTTTTCAGTTTTAACAAAACTGTTAGGCGTTCTTTTTATTTCAGGATTTATCTTAATATAACGTATCTTTACGTTTTCATTCATGACTGTGCTGTTCGATTTTCCATGCTTGATTGAGCTGTTCGATTTTCCATGCTTGATTGAACTGTTCGATTTTCCATGCTTGACTGTGCTGTTCGATTTTCCATGCTTGATTGAACTGTTCGATTTGCCATGCTTTACTGAGCTGTTCGATTTTCTATGCTTTACTGAGCTGTTCGATTTTCCTTGTAAAATTTCTGTAATGTCATACACTTTCATTTTAGTAGGTAATCGTTTTGGCGTTAATGGTTCCTTAATTGACATAGGCGTTGTTGTCGTTAATGGCCTCGTCGATGTCCTTAAGACAGTGGTATCATATTTTTCTATTTTAGTTCGATTGTTTGGTGATTTTACTGTACTCATTATATCCTCAGTATTCAGCATAGTGTATGTCGAAGTTGATTGGGATATTGCATTCTGAAGCGTGTCTGCTGTGGATTTATAACTTAATAGGTTTCGTTCAGTGGTTTCTTCCTTGTCAGTCAGAAACTGATCAGTGCTAAACGCATTGGTTTCCAAGTGATATTCGGAAGATGGCAGAGGAGTTGTATTTTTACTAGGAATAAACATTGGTACATCGGTTTTAAAATTCACTATTTGGGTTCGTTTATTGATATTTTCACTAAACAAATATTCACCTTTCACAATAGGATGCTTATCTCCAGTAAGCGGTTGTTTAGATGTCAAACTCGTTAAGGGTACAACATCCTTATGTGTTGTTGAAGGATCAACAAAGCCATTTACAACAGTCGATGTTTCATCCTTGACAGTATCGGACAGTTGGCTCATTGGTTCCTTTACAGAAGTATTAGTACCTGTAACGTCATTATATTTTCTAACTGTCTTATGTTCAGACTCACGTGTACTGTGATTGTACTCCAACTGTGTATCTGGTGTAACATAACCTCTGGGTTCATGTATGTTATTTAGCTGCATGTAATCGGCGATATTTGAGTCAGGAGCTGTTATTGAAATATTCGGCCGCCCATGTTCTACAGTTTTCCAACTATGTGGTAATAATGTACGGGTATGAAGCTGTGAGGGCTGGTGGTACACACTTTCTCGTAGTTTGTGTGGTCCAATGACATACCCACCATCTTCATGACTTCCTGTATTCGGAGTCAATTCGAGATTGATTGGAGGCTTTGAAGTTGTGGAAGGCTGTCTGGTATCATATATACCTTGCTCTCTGCGGGTTGTTCTGTTAAAATTGTTATATTGTCTCGATGAAGATATTGTATGTGATTCATCATAGCTAATCATTTTGGACTTGCTAGTAGGTACTCGAGTTCTCACAACAGTTGGTTCATGTTGAACACTTTCTTGCATCAGTGGCTTTGCATTGGTCATTGGAATTTTAACTGACTGTGTGGTGAAGGTCCAAGCTGGTGTTCTCTGTCCATAAATCATATTAGCAGGAGATGTTGTATCGCTACTAACATAACTCCAGGCATCCATAAGTCTATCTGACGTGTCCTTCCATTCCTGAGCTTTAATGTGTCTGTCATTTTTTAATTTTGTACTATGATATGAAGTTTTCTCTTTCCACAGTGCGTTTTGAAGAGCATTAGATAAGGCGGGACTTTGTCGGACTCGTGGTGGTTCATTATAAACTCTTTTCAAATCTTCAAGAGGTGGTTTTGATTCTATAACTCTTTTTCTATGTCGGAAGGCAGAAGACATAGGACCAACTTTATTCGCAACAAAAGAGTGACTTCGGTAGGTTCCATGTCCTTGCAAATTGCTCGAAGTTGAATAGGAGTTTGTTAGTGGAAAATGATTTAAAAACAATCCACTGGTATCGTGATGAGTAAATCGTTTTGAGACAGGACGTATTTCAACGAAGCCATTTTCGTTATCTATTTTTGGATTATATTTATTTCCCTCTGTTAAAAATACCTTCTGATATTGGACCGTTTTGGCATTTACCATCGACAATAACAAAACCAAGTACTTGACGATCATAAACAGGGACATATCTTTCCTATCATGAACGCCAACCATCTGAAAATAAATATGAAATTGAGTTAAAGTTGAGTCATGGTTCAAAATATACAATGCTAATCACGCAATGCTGACATAATTCATAGGATTGATACAATCGAACAAATGGGCATCGTATTTTCTTTTATTATTGATGAAACCAGATGGATTTTCTTATACACATTTTCCATAGATTTTGTTAATTTCAAAAAATAAATCGAAGTTAGTTCGTTTTCAATTATATCGATGTTTTTTTTTTTTTTCGGTTACGTTGTCTTCCGTAATGATATTTCTTAATCTTAGTGATTACGCATCAGCATATTCACTAACATGACGAAGAAAATGATATAAATAAGGGATGACTTAAATCTAATACGCATGCTTATATTTTACCGCATGAAATTTGAATTAATATTGAGAAAATATTGTAGAGCTGAAACATTCAAAGTATAATATCAAATTTTAAATTCAATATTAATTCTTTGTAAACAAGGTTTCCATATACATGCCTCAAGATACGTTTTATGGATTAAATTGACGTGTGTGGTATAAACATAACTAATGCAAAAATAATCCAAACGGGTTTTGTCCAAGTTTAAACAATTCGTGAACGGGATAAATAATTGAAATCTTTTATGGCCCCACATTCCATATAAGAATAAAGGATAATTACTCACTCACCATTTATCATCTGGTAACACTGACCAATCGAAAATTTTATTACAATATGACAGAAAAATATTGTGTAATAAACAGAATTTATAGCAGTTCCCTTAGTGTTTGCAAATATCTTTCATCCCTGTTGCTAATCATTTGGTATATTCACCAGTGCACATGTACCAAAGGATTAGCAACACTCATCAAATGAGTTTGACACCGTTTGATATCGACTATATAATATATCATGATGTTTTATATCGCTTTAGATAACTCATACGTTTGACATACTCAAAAGCGATAAAAAAAGGACGAAAGTAAAAAAAAAAAAAAAAACACACACACAAACAAACAAACAAACAAAAACCCAAGAGAGACACAAAAAGTACAAAACGATGTTTTTGATACGGGTTTTGTTTATAAGAAGTTATAAGGAATGTGCATCATAAGAACAATAAGAACATATACAGAAGATTACAACAATTGAAAAGAACATCAAACCGCAAAAGTGTATGCTACAACGTAAACTGTCAAGACTCTTGATGTCACACTGCATTGAAACATTCTCTGCAGTATATCTGTGTGTAGAGTGTGATATAACTTTGAGATATTTGACATTTAATATATTTTACACATAAATATTATCATATTTTATTTCTCATCAGTTACACTGTTAAATCATGTGAAATGAATATAATGACGGATTCGGGTTACTGGCTCGTTCAAGTAAGCAATATGTATGTTAACAGTACTAATTAAATGCTTTGAACTTTAGGCGTGTAAAGTTATAAATATAAAAAATCTGAAACGAAACATTCAATAAATAAAAAATAATATCTTTCTGTTGCCTTAAAAGAATACAACCAATGACTGAATCGCATCCATGAAAGGCTTCCACTTAGCAAAATATGTATTGATTTATCCTTTTCTTATTATCATAATGTATAGAAAACACTTTGTACAAAATCAATAACCTTGGTTTAATACCATTGTTTAACAAAGCGTTGATATGTTGCGAGCATCTCTGTGACAGAAAGGGTTCACTATATCTTAATATTGACATTATAATATTGTGATTACAAGAGGTGTCATTATGTAAGAAACTTACCTTTTGAACTTATGTTACCACCATAATCAACTCGAGTGATCCGCTGTAATAGCTCAGTAATGTTAAAGTGAACCTTAGCCGTATCAGTTGACAAAAAACTACTGAAATACGTAAGCATGTTTTCATTATATTAACATTAACTGGCAAAGTAGTATATCATGTAACATGTATTTGTATCACAAGACCACCAAAGGTGAAATGCTCAATGTCATTATTACATCGATTGAGGAATATGTTAAACATGATCACTGATGGATTTCGCGTGTCCATTATGTACTCAGATATACGATATCATTGTGTTTTTTTCAGTAAACGTGATCTTCGTAGCTGAGAATGATTAAAAAAGGGACACTCTTGTCGCACGTAAATCATGCTTGATATTTGTGTTGACCTTGTTGACACGAATCCTAGCGACAAACTTGTGTTTCCTGTGATGTGAACATTGTGGTGTTTATACACCGGCACCTTTTTCTACTTCAGGTTAAATGTATCTCTCTGGGATGTCAGGCACACACACACAGATTTGTGTTAATTTGTAACACAGTTTGTTCTGTTTGTAAACGATAAATGAAAATTAAGAATTTATCATTTCATGTCTGCTGCATCATATCTGCTGAATAGAAAATGAAACAAATTGTACAAACCAAGGATAATAATATATGTGAAATACATGTGTATTTAATTAACAAAAGACAAAAAAAACCTTATATACCTAATATAACTTAATACCGGAAATGACAGTTAATTATTACTATATCTATACAGCAACTGTTTTGGTTCTGACAGATCTGGTAGGATGTCTGTTAAATCGGTAGTCGATAGAGTCAGATTTTCTGTTAGTGTTTTGTAATGTTGCTGAGTTTAAACGACATTATACGACTTGTTGTCATTATACCACTAATTTTTTATGCATATGTATATGATACAATGGACAGCTGATAGTCATTGTAATCATCCTCACAGAAACACAAAGAAACATTATGTTTGGGGTTGCAGCTCGATCTTATTTAAAATAAAGTCAGACAATAGTGTTAACATGACGATGTATCAGAATCTGGAAATAACTAACTTGTATTGTTCACTGAAACTCAGATCTACGGTAAAGAGAAGTCTTTACTAATAAAAAATGTTTTAACAAGCATACTGATTTGACAAGCAAACTGTCAGATAAGCAGGTATGCCAGTTGCAGACAGCACTGCACTGCAATTGATTAGACGATAGGAATATGCATTGATGCCAAATAATGATAATTGAGATATGGAAATTTAATAGTTATCAAAATTGCATTTTCTCTTTCATAAAAAGAAGCTTCAAAAATGCTACCAATACTTTTTAAACAATCATCTGTTGTAAAATGTTGTAAGTAGCGTTATATATCTCGAATTTACAAGGCTCTTTATTACATCATTGTATTCCTAGTGCATCCTAGCAACACCGATGTCAGCTGATGGAGATCGCCATCTTGTTTACTAATTTGCTTACGTCGGTCAGTTTTAGCCATACTTTACACATTTGTTTATATGGAAACCGAGCTCGACAGAAAGCTGTCAGTTAAGAAGTGGTTGAGGTAAGTGTTATGGTATCAAAGTTTTTCAATATTGAATTAGTGAGTGAGTGAATGAGTGAGTGAGTGAGTGAGTGAGTGAGTGAGTGAGTGAGTGAGTGAGTGAGTGAGTGAAAAATGGGTGGGTGGGTGGATGAGTGGATGAGTGAGTGAGTGGGTGGGTGAGTGGGTGGGTGAGTGGGTGAGTGAGTGAGTGAGTGAGTGAGTGAGTGAGTGAATGAGTGAGTGAGTGAGTGAGTGAGTGAGTGAGTGACGCTGATAAAACAAAGTTTCTTTTGTCTACATCCGCCGACTGTCATCGCGTTATACTATGCAGCAACCTCCTCCTCACGGTCTGTAGTCATCAAAGTAATAGGGGTAATTGTGTCTACATTATTCCGACCGCCAGTCATTTGTTGTGTCCCGACTTACCAGCCTCACTCATCTCTGGCTTACCGATACACATGGCAACAGAAGTCTGTATCGTGTAAATGTCCTTCTAGGGAGCGCAGCCTATATTTTTTATTCGTGGAGTATTGACAAAAATACCAATGAAATTTAAGAAATTCGAAAGAATGGGATAAAGGATCGTTTTAAAACAAAGCTGTTAACAATAATTCGTATTCCGCACAAACATAAATCAGAAAAAAAAGAATGTTTAGATTTAAATGTTTATGTTTACAATGACATTTTTCCCGAGTAGCTATCGACGATGGAATAGTAATATTTGTTTTCAAATGACAACACAAACAATAATTTGTATATAAATAAGTTTGTAATAGTCTTGCCTTCCGTTCAAATCTATTATTTTTCCGGTTATAGAAACAAAATGAAATCATAGAAATGAGTTACAAGCGACATAGCTAATGTTCTGTCATAGTGCAGACACCTTATACCTTATTATCTGTTAAAATTTAACGAAAAGAAATCGAAACCAAACATCTTTACACTGATCAGTTTTACAAAACCTTCACAACGTAAGTGTGAGAAAATTTCACTCTGATTATAATAAATGTCAACATATTGCGATATTTGATTATTTTCAATGAAGTTGTATAATTTTTATAAGTCTCAAGTTTCCGATTTTGATATATTTCAATCACAATCAAATATGTCATAATACGCTCATATATATATTCATGGAAGATGTTATAGACTGGGTTTTCCTGTTTTCGTTAATATCAGTTTTTGAAATTTTGAAACACTTAATATAAATGGTAGTTTTCCAGTTCTTTATCATCATACCATGAATATCGTACAACACCAATAAACTTAGTAACATCTCGCTATGTTGTAGGGTTTACACGAGGTCATTTCAAATTTTGGCGAATTCCAACTATTGGATTTTCATACACATTTACATCACCAATTATTACTACATCATGTTTCACTACTGATTATCATCTTCCTCCTTTTTCTGTTTTGGTTCCTGTGATTGCTGCGGATCCGCAAAATATTGATCCAGCCATGGCATTGATGTAGTGTAAAAAATGGTTGGTGTCTTGACTGGCACTGGCAAATAATTGAAGAATAAATTATTTGTAGTTTGTCCCTTTACTAAACCAGTTGGTGGTTCGTAATATTTATAATTGCCATTTGCATCGATGTAGTAATATCCACCTTCTGTTTTCGTTTTTACTTCCTGTACTGGTGTAGTTACAGTAGTTTCTGCAGAAAGTTTTATGTTGTTTTTATTGTTTACCTGTGCTTTGGTAATAGCTGATTCTGCATCCCCTACTACTGCCGTTTTGGCTGGGCTTACATCGACTGTTGCAGAACGGGATGCTGCCGCTATATGACCAAATGCGGACGAAGCAGAATATGCTCCGGTCGCACTTTTATGCACAACTTGATCCATTTGATCTATAGGTTGCGTATGGCCTGAAACGCTTGTACTGGCTGTTTTTTTATCACTCGACATAGACCTAGCTGTTTTTGCGCTTATTAGTTTTACGCCATCACCCTTGGTATTCACTAAATCATTTTTTGTCGATCTTGAAACGGAAACCAATGGTGTTCCCGAGAGTATTGGTGTTGATTGATGCGAGATTCTATTTTGTTCTGACATCTCACTATCAACTCTAGAAGATTTTAAAGAAGGTCCTTTACTTGTATCCACTGCATTTGGTGTAGATTTCGGAAGGGATTTATTGATTACAGTTCCTTTTGCTATTGGCTGAGAAGAGGTTGGTTTCTGTTGAGCAACACTATTTCCTAATTGCATTTCGCTAACAGAATACTGCTTTCCACTATTAAGAGACTCGACTGTAACGGAGGTCTCACTCGATTTTCTTGTAGGTTTCTCAGAGGTCTTAGAATCAGGCGCAGTCAATGCGGATACTTTAGATATCAAAGGCCCAGATGATCCCTGTCTGTTTACTGGTAAAACAAATTGTTGTTTGGTTTTGCTAGACCCTATTCCTTTTCCATCTCTAACGGATGTTTGCGATTGTGACTGCCCAGATTTAGTATCAGTGTCTTCACCTTTTCCTCTGTTGTCCTGCACCTTTCGCCCAAAACTTTGCGGCATTCCTTGAGAATCTTGTGGAATGATTCCTTTACCAAGAATGCTATTTTCTCCAGGCTTTTTCTCTTTGCCTCGTAAAGACACATATGAACCTTGCGAAGGTATGGCCAATTGGTTCGTATCAGACCCATTCATTTGTGAACTTGAAACTATTTTAATCTGATTGCTTTGATCCATTTCATTTAACGTATTTCTTTCATTTTTTACGAAATTGTCTTTTTTCGGTTTTGATGGTGTCAGACGGGGATATTTTGTTGGACCTGCAGAACCATTTTGTGTGTTATCTTTCCGTGAAAGGTGTATAGAACGTCCTTGTAAAGCTGTTGCTGCTGGAGAAATGGCAACATTTGATGGCAAAGGAACACTCCGACTCTTAGATGATGAGGATGTCCACACAGTTGATGAAGGGAAACGACTGCTGCTTTTTGACGGGATCAAATCATTCTGTTGCGTCTGTGGTTGACTGTCAACTCGTGGAGGAGGTTGCTGACTGCCATTTCCTTGCGGGAGGCTTTGAAGTTGATTTCGTGAAATAGGAAGTTGAACGCCCTTCGTAAGAGTAGTGGGTGGTTGACGGTCATTTTGTGGATAAGGTGGCTGATGACCTTTTATCGACGGTAATGATTGACGGACATTTTGCGGAGGAGTTGGCTGACGGCCATTCGATGAGGGAGACAGTTGTAGGTCATTTGGTGGAGAAGGTGACTGACGGCTATTTAATGGAGGAGTTGGCTGACGACTTCCTTGTGAAGATGGTTGAAGGCCATTTGGAGGAGGAGGTGACTGACGGCCATTTGATGGAGGTGACTGACGGCCTCTTTTCGAAGAAGATATTTGACGGGCATTTTGAGGAGTAGGCTCACGGCTGTTTGATGGAGAAGATGACTGGCGGCCTTTTGTCGACGGTGATGATTGACGAACATTTTGCGAAGGAGTTGGCTCACGGCCATTCGATGAGAGAGACTGTTGGAGGGCATTTGGTGGATAAGGCGATTGAAGTCCCTTTGATGGAGGTTGTGGTTTACGTCTGTTTTGTTGAGAAGGTTGACGTTTATCTTGTAAAGGTGGTTGACGCCCATTTTGTGGAGGAGTTGGCTGACGACTATCTTTTGAAGATGGTTGAAGACCATTTTGTGGAGGATGTGACTGACGGCCATTTGATGGAGGTGACTGACGGCCACTCGGTTGAGGGAGTTGACGATCATTTGATGAAATGGGTGGTTGACGGCCATTTATTGTAGGTTGTAGACGCGTATTTTGAGTTTGAGGTATCGGACGGCGATTTTGTGGTGAAGGTGATTGACGGTCATTGGATGGAGGACGTGACTGAATTTCATTTATTGGAGGAGGTGGTTGACGGCTATTTCCTTGAGGAAGTGACAGACGGCCATTCGATGGAGGACGCGGGTGAAGGCCATTTAGTTGAGAAGGTGATTGGCGGCCATTTTTCAGAGGAGGTGATTGACGGCTATTCGATAGAGGAGGTTGTTGACGGCCATTTGGTGGAGGAGGTGGTTGACGGCTTTTCGATTCCGGAGGTTGTTGTCGGCCATTTGGCGGAGGAGGCGATTGACGGGCTATTTGTTGAGGTGGCTGGCGGCTATTCGAAGCAGAAGGTGGTTGGCGGCCATTGGATGGGACAGATGGCTGCTGGCCATTTAGTGGAGGTGATTGACGTCCATTTTGTGGAGGAGGTTGTTGACGGCCATTTTGTGAAGGAGATGATTGACGGACATTTGATGGAGGTGGTTGTTTACGGCCATTTTGTGGAGGTGATTGGCGACCATTTGATGAAGGAGGTTGTTGACGGCCATTTTGTGAAGTAGTTGATTGACGGACATTCGACGGAGGAGGTTGTTGACGGCCATTTTGTGAAGGAGGTAATTGACGGACATTCGACGGAGGAGGTTGTTGACGGCCATTTTGTGGAGGTGATTGACGGCCATTCGACGGAGGAGGTGGTTGACGGCCATTTTGTGAAGTAGTTGATTGACGGGCATTTGATGGAGGTGGTTGTTGTCGGCCATTTTGCGGAGGAGGTGATTGACGGCCATTCGACGGAGGAGGTTGTTGACGGCCATTTTGTGAAGTAGCTGATTGACGGACATTTGATGGAGGTGGTTGTTTACGGCCATTTGGTGGAGGAGGTGGTTGACGGCCATTTTGTGAAGTAGTTGATTGACGGGCATTTGATGGAGGTGGTTGTTGTCGGCCATTTTGCGGAGGAGGTGATTGACGGCCATTCAACGGAGGAGGTTGTTGACGGCCATTTTGTGAAGTAGTTGATTGACGGACATTTGATGGAGGTGGTTGTTTACGGCCATTTTGTGGAGGTGATTGGCGACCATTCGACGGAGGAGGTTGTTGACGGCCATTTTGTGAAGGAGATGATTGACGGACATTCGACGGAGGAGGTTGTTGACGGCCATTTTGTGGAGGTGATTGACGACTATTCGATGAAGGAGGTGATTGACGGCCATTTGACGGAGAAGGTTGTTGACGGCCATTTTGTGAAGAAGTTGATAGACGGATATTCGATGGAGGTTGTCGGCCATTTTGCGGAGGAGGTGATTGACGACCATTCGATGAAGGAGGTGATTGACGGCCATTTTGTGAAGTAGTTGATTGACGGACATTCGATGGAGGAGGTTGTTGATGGCCATTTTGTGGGGGTTGTTGACGTCCATTTTGGGGAGGAGGTGATTGACGGCCATTTGGTGGAGGTGATGATTGACGGCCATTCGACGGAGGAGGTTGTTGACGGCCATTTTGTGAAGTAGTTGATTGACGGACATTTGATGGAGGAGGTTGTTTACCGCCATTTGGTGGAGGAGGTGGTTGACGGCTTTTCGATTCCGGAGGTTGTTGTCGGCCATTTGGCGGAGGAGGCGATTGACGGCCTATTTGCTGAGGTGGCTGGCGGCTATTCGAAGCAGAAGGTGGTTGGCGGCCATTGGATTGGAAAGATGGTTGCTGGCCATTTAGTGGAGGTGATTGACGGCCATTTTGTGGAGGAGGTGATTGGCGGCCATTTAGTGGAGGAGGTGATTGACGGCCATTTTGTGGAGGAGGTGATTGAGGGCCATTGGTTTGAGGAGGTTGTTGACGGCCATTGAGTTGAGGAGGTTGTTGACGGTTATTCGGAGGAGATGGTTGACGGCCATTGGTTTGAGGAGGTTGTTGACGGCGGTTTGGTGGAGGAGATGGCTGACGGCCATTGGGTTGAGGAGGTTGTTGACGGCGGTTAGGTGGAGGAGATGGCTGACGGCCATTGGGTTGAGGAGGTTGTTGACGGCGGTTAGGTGGAGGAGATGGCTGACGGCCATTGGGTTGAGGAGGTTGTTGACGGCGGTTTGGTGGAGGAGATGGCTGACGGCCATTGGGTTGAGGAGGTTGTTGACGGCGGTTTGGTGGAAAAGATGGCTGACGGCCATTGGGTTGAGGAGGTTGTTGACGGCGGTTTGGTGGAGGAAATGGCTGACGGCCATTGGGTTGAGGAGGTTGTTGACTGCGGTTTGGTGAAGAAGATGGCTGACGGCCATTTGATAAAGGATATGGTTGATGGTCGTTTAGATGTTGATGACCATTTGTACGAGGGCGTGGTTGACGGTTATTTTGAAGAGATATGTGTCCAGGCTGTGGAGAAATTGGTATGCCATCAGATTGTGGCGACAGTAGTCGGTTTCTTGATGTAAGCGAAAAACTTTGTTGGGATGAACTTCGAACAGGAGTTGTTTTGAGAGATGACACGCGTCCGTTTTGGTCTCGTCGATTAGGCGGTCGTCCCTGTATTAGGGGTAGAGCAGATGGAGGTCTTTGGAATCGTAGAGAACGACTTAGTTGTTCACCTCTTGACTTCAGACGAGTGGTTTGTCCTGGAAGAATAAAGCAGATAATATCCTTTGCAGGGATGATTGAAATCGTTATAATAGATGCAGATATGAAATCTCTGTCCCACAAAATCTGCTTGAGAAGCAAACTGAATAAATGATGAAAAAATATAAATATAAATGCCTGTTTACTCACCCCAAACAACGTAAACGTATTTTTAACTGGTTGTAAAATAAAAAGATATGTTTATATATATATGTGTATATATATATCAGTCAGAATGAAATGTGTTTTTGATAAGCAATGTACAGTAAATACGTACACAGTTTAGAGGGACAACTGTGAACATCATACCTCTTTGTGCCACAGATGAACCAACTGACGCCGCAAAACGTGGTCGAACATTACTCTTTGTCCCAGAGAAAGAAACTGGTTTAGGCGTAGCAGGCGGAGGAGATGGCTTTCCACTGTACCTTTTGGGATTTGATTTACCTCCCACGGCTCCGCTAAACGAAAACGGCTGAGAATTCTGAAGACCGTTCCGAGTATTTGTGGGAGGTTTATCGTTGTTATTAGGAAATTTGAGTGGTGTACATCCTACTAAGGCGATGATTGATAGCACAATAGACAGGACAGTGAATGAAGGCATCTCTTCTCGCTTTCCTAAAAAGTATAATGATAGATATATTACATTTATGAATATATACAAAACAAATAAAAAAAGAATGAATAAAAAGTTTTCAAGTTAAACCGATAGGTAGCATGAAAAACGACTGTTCCCTATACCCTTATAAGAATCACAATAGAATTCCTTCAATCCCACGTCGATGTCAACTCATTCTCTTCACGTGCACATTCTATTTGGTATCAAGAACGTACCTGGTAGGAAATCACAGGAATCTAAATATTCCATAGTTACTCCTAAAAGACATACACTCTTACTTTCCTTTCTGGGGTAAACCAAGACCTCATTTGAGATCAAAATCGTAAAATTTTTAATTGCGTTCGCAAGTACATTAAGGACACGAACCGTTTCTATTTACAGAAGTAAGGATTAGTTTGAATCCTTTTCAAACATTGTAGTCAGATGAATATTACCATAAGGACGGATTAATTTTAAAATAGTTTCTATCCCCGTATCATCTAGCCTTTCCCAGGTCCGTATAAAAAACGTAGGTATTAAATATGTAAGGTACAGCGAAACAACTGTCAATACTAATGATGCTAATTCAATTTGCTTTAAAATATTGAAATTAGCATCAAGAAGGAATGACACGATTGAAACCACGCCGCTCCAAGTCTTCTTGACTGCAGTGCACGTAGAGAGTAGGATAGAGAACTTCCGGTCCGGTTGATAGTTACCTCCCATATAGGGGTACTACAACACCCCTTTTTAAATTGTTTATGTGTCTTTTTGAAAGTATATTTGAATTAATAATCTTAGATGCTTGTGAACTATTTCGATGTAAATATGTGTTGGTGGAATGCATTGTATTTGTGGAATTTGAGAGCCCTCCTGTGTGAGAACATGTTTTGTAAACTTGAAGGCTGACCCCAGGGCTCCAACCCTGGCAGTCTTCCAACGAAATGGATGTCTGGAAAATAAAACTAAAAAAAAAACAAAAACAAAAAAAAACAAAAATGCATGCGTGGCATATACCATGTATAATGCATATGTTTGGAGAGGGCTTAACAAGTGATAAGTATTTGGACCCATTCCTTTTTATCATTTTCCAAGGCTTATATAAAATATGTTTTAATCAATAAATATATTGTTTTCTCAAAGAAAAACGTCTATTGTCCTTCAGTTGCATCATGGATTCACTTAATTCAAATAGTGATAAACAGCTTACTTATTTAAGATAATAATCTATCATTTTTCTATCAAAATCTATTCTGACAAATGTCTTACACAATACAACATCACAATTCATTATTGATATAATTAATTTAATAAAAAAAAAACCCACAAAAATCGTAAACAGAGATACCTTAATCGTCCTCTCTGCAGATCCGTAAAAAAGATTTTCCCAACAACGTAACTGGGATTAAATTCGTAAGAAATTCATTACCCTTGAAAAGTAAACAAAATGGTGACGTACAGTGTCTAAAGGTAATATTTGTACCGACATTAGAATTTCAACGAAAGAGTAGTAGTATCTGTATGCATATTTGTAAATAAATAACTAATTTTCCTGTCAATAAACGCATTATGAAAATAATGATACATGTAATAAAGACCAAACCACAGTAGAAAAGATCCATGATACACGTGTATTCTGAAAGTTATTTTCAGGTAAAAGGCCTTCTTTAAAATTTTCATTAGATTTGTGTAACGTGCAAGTGGTAGGTTAGTAACCGTCCTTTTTATACTAAGAAGCGTTTTTTTGTTATCATTTACGGTAGTTCAAATAACGCAATGTCCAAGATGTATATGATCTTTTCAAATACTGAATTATAAAAATATCTTTATCTAGAAAGGAATTATTTTTGTAAAATTATTTGAATATTTCTGCAAGATTCCTCTCGCGAAATTCACTATAAGTTAGATTTTGCTTCCTTATTCCTCAACTGGTGTATGTTAAACAGCATTTGGACAGGATATTGAATATTGATCACTTATCTCTTTTCTGCTGTTATGAACAGCACATTGTATACGCCTTAAACTCAAGCACACAAAAACGTGAAGTGTTCCAAAAAATAAAGATTTATAAGGTACGCCCAGGCCGACCTATGTAAGGACATGGAAGGTCATTAGGTGTGTTTTGCTTTGATTTAGGTAGTGATCAGTTGATTAATAGCTAGAACCTATTGTTATATCACGTATGTGATTGACAGGCCACATATAGCAACACTTCGGCCTGACGTGTATAGTCATTATGTTGTACACAGAAAACAATAATATTCTACTTACTTCTGTAATTACAGCTAAACATCGTGATTGAGAAGCGTTCCATATGCAAAAGACAATGTTAATCGTAGTGACTCTTTTGTGCATCAGCATTGAATATTATATAATTATGTACTATCACTAGCTTTAGTTTGCAATTTTCTCGTTAAGGCAAATACATCTAATTTTTAAAAGATCAACGTAATGAGAAATGATCTGTCAGATAAAATGTTTGGTTTTTAGTTGACAAAAGCAATTAGGAAAGTACTGTCATAATGACGGAAACATTATTCAAACCAAATTCGATCAAACTGGGGCAATTTATGATCAAAAGAATTATTTATACGAGAACTCATGAAAAGGAACACGTTTTCCTGAAGGGTAAGCGTCTTGTGCTTCGTAGACGACACTTGCCATGTAAATTTCACTCAATTGTATCACTTTCCTAAATGAGAACAAATTAAACAAAGGAACCACACGAAAATTGTTATACTTGTAACAAGAACTTGAATATGCAGAAAAAAAAAACTGCGACATGTTAATTAGATTTAGTTAAACTACACTTTAACAGATGGAAACTTGTTTAGGGTAGAATGTCCCACCGATTAAAAACAATGAAAAACAAAAACAAAAAAGTAAAAAATAAAGAAAGAAAATGCCGAATATTGACACAAAAGCCAATTTAAGTGACCAATTTTGACATCAGACAGCTGTTTCTTCCATTTTAGACTCGGCAGTAACATTAAGGACATAAAACCTTAAAACCTAGGAGACGACTGAAGAAAATACAGTGGACGTTATAAATAGCAAACACCAAACAGGGAGTAACACGCATTCCAAAATTTGGTATATGTAATCCGAATTATTATCAAATTTCTAAACTTGCCAAAATAACATAAAAAAAACACGTTGCAA